GGGGGGAGGTGGTTGGGTGATTCCAGAGCTCACAGAAACCCCCCGACAATGCAACTCAGGACACGCAACTGTAGCACGGGCCCCAGCCAAGGAAGTGTTCCACAAGAGGCGGTTCGAGGGCAACAGAGAACGCACACAGTTACAGAGATAGAGAGGGGGTGTAGGGGCTGGAGGGGGTTACTGAGATAGGGAGGTGGTGTAGGGGCTGGAGGAGGTGACAGAGATAGGGAGGGGTGTAGGGGCTGGAGGGGGTGACAGAGATAGAAAATGGTTTTAGTACGTTGGCTCGTTAAGCAGCGCTCCAGCGTTTATTCTGTGAGATACCTAGTTTCTCAAAACCGACATTAACGTCACAACTGAGAGAGCAGTGTCTGAGCAAGGACGCATTACTCCATCAGCAACGTTTATTGGATCTGAGTCCAAAGCTAATTTCATGCTCCCCGTGTAACATGTTGCAAAACCACGTTCAGCATCATTGCATTGATTTATAGGTCATTAGAAATGTCAGTTACTGAAAAGAAACTGACGTTTAGCCAGTGGGATATTGACAGATGTAGTTTTATATGCACAAGTATCGGCAAAGTGTTACCAAGAACGAAGAGGGAGCGTACCCTTCCTGTCTGCTCCCACTCTTTTTCTCTTTTCCCCTCATCCCTACCAAGATCTGGCTGAAGTGCCAAGTGGATGATCCCATCTTGGTCTCTTCCTGTGGTTCACCAGCATCACAGATGCCAGTCCTCAGCCAATTCGACTCCCTCCACGTGATATCAACAAACGTTTGCAGTCACTAGATACTGCAAAGGCTACAGGCCCTGACAACATTCCGACAATGGTACTGAAGACTTGTGCTCCCTAACTTCCTGTTCCCCTGAGCCAAGCTGTGCCAGTACATTTACAACACTGGCATCCACCCGACAATGCAGAAAATTGCACAGGTATGTCCTGTGCGCAAAAAGCAGGACAAATCCATCCTGGCCAATGACTGCCCCATCAGCCTCCTCTTGATCATGAGGAAAGTGGGTAGAAGGTGCCACCAACAGTGCTCACTCGGCAATAACCTGCTCAGTGATGTCCCAGTTTGGGTTCCGCCAGGGCCACTCAGCTCCTGATCTCATTACAGCCTTGGTTCAAACATGGACAAAAGAGCTGAATTCCAGAGGGTGAGGTGAGAGTGACAGCCCTTGATATCGAGTGTGGCATCACAGAGCCCTAGCAAAACTGGAATCAGTGGGAA